GGATATTGGCTTTATATTCTTCTAGGAAGTTTCAGTTCCCTTCTGTGACAAAGTGAGGCTGCTCATCTAAGGAGCCGCCTTCCTCATTTTTATTCGCCTTAGACTTTCACAGGCAGGTAAAACCATAAATTCTTCAGCTGCTGAGAAAGCACTTCACCAGGCTTAGGGTTCTTTGGCAAATAACTGCTTACCTTGACCATGCAGAATGTCCTTTGGTAAAAATCTGCCCTTTCGTTTTTGTTATTTAGAAGAAGATGATCACTAATGGAATCTGCCAGGGCCTGAGTTTGGGTACCTTTTTTTGAAAGCACCGCACATCTGCAGATCCTTGGGCAAAGCCCATTTGAGAGCTATGAGGGGACAGGGAAACCACTTGAACTGGATTCACCAAGAGGAAGGGAAGCTGGGGAGAATGGTCATGAGGGAGGGACTCTCAACCGATCCTTATCAGTTGTGTGCAGCAGGGTCACTCCTTAAGCATGAGTGACAGAGAAAGCTGGAAGAAAGCTGGGGGTCAGGGGCGGGGAAGAGGAAGGACCAAAGAACCTTACCGGAAAATACATGTTCTCTCTCAAACTAAAGAGGAAAGAGATAACCCCTGGAATATTATACTGAAGCCATTAGTAATTAATTTTCTCCCTCAGATGAGCGTCAGTCTTAGAAGACTTATACTCTTTGGTTAAGAATTCAGTAAAGCCTCAAATTGTTTTTAAGCCTTTGTTTATGTTAGTTGGGCCTTACATCGCATGCTGATCACGCCAAGGACGGTGGGAAGACAGCCACACACCATGTAAAAGATCTGTTTCCCCAGCATCATCCAATATTCACAGGAGATCCTTTCTCTGGCCATGTGTTTTCTAGACGAGGCTCTCCAGGAAAACCTAGAGTTTCATTATGTAGCAACTCTGTGTGTACGTGTACATCATCTGTATTCCAACATCAGCCAGCCACCGAGCGTGAACCTTAGTCTCCGCTAAGTATTTGGATTCTGCGCAGGAAGTGCCCTCTTTTCCTGGAAAGGGTGGGACCTAATGATGCCATGTTGATATTGGTCAATCACACCTCATTCCTCTCCGGAAAAGAGTGGGGGTTGGGGGGACATAGAATGTACCTCCTTGTTCTAAATTACATGGTGTCTCTTCAAGGGAGGTCACTGGATTTATCCAATTCTTTGAAGAGGGCACATGTTTTAAAGGAAGAAGAACTACTGGAAAACGGGAGTCTTGGCCGCAGGTCATGGCTCTGCCCTGAACTAGCTGAGAAAACGTGGGTTTCACTTTCCTCATCTGCAAAATAAGACTTTGAAAAGCTGACATCAAATGTCCTGTTTCATTCTAAATTTTATCACTATATTGGATATTATTCAATTATATATTATGTAGCTGTGTTACCTAAATTGAAATTTGGTGACATGACATACATTAATGGTAGACTGTATATAATGGAAGACAGTAGAAGTGTATGTTCCAGTGGTACTCACAAGTACTCGCTGGACAGTTTAAAACTACTATGAAATTCCAAGAGAGTAACTCTTTTGGGTCCATGTTTCAGAAGAGTGGAATGGGATGTCTTCTTTGCTTTTGATTTGGATTTTTAAAAAGTATACACAGTTCCACTAAATTTTATTCAGCATAATCTATACATTTTTTTCTCAAACATTTATTATTCTTTCCAAACCCATTTGATTAGATAATATTTTCATGTTTTAAACAATAGATTTCTCTTTTTCATTTGTGATTGAAACAATAATTCACGATTATCCATTAGAATTATTTAAGGTTATTATGTTACTACAAATACAAATACCCATGAAACTTATTGTCCTAAAATATTGTCACATAAGGCTTTTTTTCCAAAGGGGAGGTAGTTTAACAAGAGGGTCCTTATATGGCTATGGAAGATATTTGCAAGTTGAATATTCTCTTGTTTCTTCTTCTCACTAAGTGGTGGTACCTGTAGACACAGAGAGGGACAGGGCTACAGGTATTCAGTTTGTGTTGGTTTGAAATAGCAGTAGGAAACACACTGAGTAAAATGTAAGACACAAAGGAAGAACTTGATAACTTTTAACTGAATAAATGAATAAGGTAATGGATACTGAGTTTTCTTCATATCCACCGGAATCCCACTAGGAAAGTAGATAAGATCCTGAAATGTAAGACAAAATTTTCAGTTAAGTCATTGTGGCATGTATTAAGCACCTTAAGCTGTATGAATAATTCACCATAACATTATCTCTATAGAGATAATTTAGGTAATTTTAGATAATTTAGTGTTAGATGAGGCTCCTTCCCAATTTTAGGGTATTTACTTACTAGAATAATGAAAACTATAAAGAAATGTCATGTCACTTCTGAGATATGAATCCTAAAGGGTTTCAGCATCTTTAAAGTACAGCTTACTCAAAAATGACTTGTCGTGGTTTTTGTTACCGGAAATATTATGTTTGCTTCACAAATAAACTGATACAAAAACTTAAGTAACATTTTTATTTTGACTATAGAATGTGAAGTGAGATATACTCACGTAAGAATGTTATTCATTAAATTAAAAGCATGATTACACATTTAAGTACCAACAAATTTTCAAGTAAAGGCCATGTATGTATACATTGTGTGTGTGTGTGTGTGTGTGTGTGTGTAGCTTAAAGAACAGTAGTAAGTCAAGTTGCATGTATCCATCATCTAAGTTAAGAAATAGAACCTGAACAATACCCAGGAAGCCCCCACATGCCTTGCTGGTCACATTCCCACCTACCCCACATCTCCCATGCCTTAGGTAACCACTTTCCTGAATCTTATTTTTCTAATCATTTCCTTACCTAAATAATCTTCTGGCTTAGAATGATTTTGATCTTTATATAAGTGAAGTAATATTGTGTGTTATTCTGTGACTTTTTTCTCTCAATATTAGGATGCTGATGTTTATAGATAAACATGGAGTTCATTCATTTCCAGTGCTGTTTCATCTTCGATTGCTTGACACAACTCACTTCATCTGTTCATTATCCTAATGAAAATATATTTTTAATTTGTTTCAAAATATGAAACATTCATTCATTCCATTTGAATCATTAAGAGAATGCTAAACTATTCCATAAGTTTTTCATTAATTTTTGTTAGAATTATATTTGCCAAACAGTTCAACCAAATCTTTAAATACAGAGAAAAGAAATTAAAATCTCTATTTCTGTCACCTGTATCGTCCCAGCAAAACGGAACAGTGGCCTAGCCAAGCCTAGCCCATTTGCAATAAATTGTTCTCAGAAAGGAGGCCACAGTTTAATAATCTTATTTTCTGTGCCACTTACAGGCTTTTGCCCTCTTGTACAAAATCTTTTCCCATTAAGCAGACGTATTGGCAAGATTTTGTTACAGATACTGGCTTCCATGCACTTAGTGTTTCCTTTAATAGGTCTGGAATCATGCATAAGGTATGCAAACCTCATGCTAGATTTGGTCACCAATAAAATCAGGCTTGCTCAATGGGGTGATTCAAGAGAAGGGCAGAGCAAATGAATACATAAACCACTCTCTCCCTAACAGCTAAACGTCCCCAAAAGTTCATTTCTTATTATAGGCAGGAAATCATTTGGCAAGTGTCTGCCTTGTGGAATAGCATCAGCCCGGAGAACTGACGATAGCTCAGTGACCCAGGCAGGGCGTTAGTTGACTCTGATGGAATAAAGAGGAAGAAAAAGGAAATTGGTGGTTTTTTTTTTTCTTTTTTAATGCATTTCTTTAAATACAACCTAAAATTTATATTTAAAAAAGGAAATTTAATGATCTAATCTACAAATTGTCTTAGTGTTCAAGGTATATTAAAAAGCAATAGAAACTACATGTACACAGTCTCTGGGGAGTTGAACATTAAGGCCCAAAGTAGTTTTGATTTGTCTTAGGACTCCTGGATTTGAACCCAGAAATCAGCTCACCCGGACTCCCTTGCAATCATAGGTCGGATGATAGTTCGCTAATCAGAAGCATTCATTTGTTGCCACATCCTTAGCTCTATGGCAGCACATTCCACGTGGTAGGCACTGATCATTATCCTTTAAATGAATGAATTTGGGGGCCCTCGATAGATTGTTTGAGCTGGTACATTTTTGTGATGAGTTAGTATTGCAAGAGTGGGATTTGAATTCGATGTCATTGTATTTGAGGGAATGCCCTGTGTCTTCCTCCTGGAGAGACCGTTCCTGGTGTTAGCCGATTGAGGTCCTTGTGGGAAAATGAGGGCAGGGACACAGCACATGCCTGACACGGGCATCATAGCCCATCCATTCTACCATGACGACTGGGAGAAGATACAGTGGAAAAATACAAGGTACTTTGAGACTCTTGTTGAGTTTAACAGTTTTCTGTTGAGTTGACCGACTAGATTGTATATTGAAAATTCATTGTTGTTGACGACGATGACAACAATGATGGTTAGAAGATGGATGCCAATATTTCTCTAAAAGCACTGTGGCTTTCTTATCGTTAAGATTTAAAAGGTTCCTAACAAGCCCCTACAAGGCCCAGTAAGATAAGTCCTATCTCACCTTCCCAGCTTCATGCAGCGTTACTCTTCTGGCAGACTCGGCAGAAACACGCGTGGGGCTCTGTGGAATAGTGCCGCTGTCACTTTCTGGTCCAGGTCCTCTGCAGACGTACATTGTTCTGTTTGAAACTCTTCTGAGCCCTCAGGATAAACTACTACTAATCCAGATTTTAGCACGGAAGTGACTTCAGAGATGTCCCAAAGCCTCTACCCATACCTCTCCCTCAGCGATCCCTTCAGTGTAATGGGATGATTGGGTAGCTCGTTGTTCAGCCTGAATCTCTTCTTTTGGGGTGTCTGCTTCATTAGTCAGGTATCCGGCTGGTTCGCCTCTGAATTTGCAAGCCTTTTCCAGAGAGTGTGGCCAGTAGTGGTGCTCCAGAAATGTTTGCTGAAGCAAGCCGTGCTGAACGAATCATCACAAGTCGGCTAAAACTCTGTTTTCTTTTTCTCTGTAGCTGGGAAGTTATCAATTCCAAACCAGATGAAAGACCAAGGCTCAGCCACTGTATTGCAGAATCATGGATGAATTTCAGCATATTTCTTCAAGAAATGTCTCTTTTTAAACAGCAGAGCCCCGGCAAGGCAAGTTTTCCAGTATAGGTGAATTAGTGTGTGTGCCTTAAAATGTGCAATCAATCGGAAACAAATGAATTAACCTCTTTTGTCAGGTTGTAAGGGTTCTCCAGTCCTGGATACAATATGCTAAGAGCACATGCCATGAAGCTGATATTAGCAAGGTTCAGAAACATCAGTGTGTTAGCACTAGAACACCCTCAACCTTATATTTTGAAATTGGAATCATTTTCTATTTTATACATATTTATCTAACTCATTAACAAAAATGAATGTTGACTGGTCTTATCGGCCAGACCAAGGAGAAAAAAATATATTATTAAGAACTTCAGTTTAAAAGCAGACACAGAGAGAAAAAAACCAGACATATAATTACAGAGAACAAACTGGTGGTTGCCAGAGAGAAGAGGGGCAGGGGGTGGGCAAAATAGGTGAAAGGGATTAAAAAGTACCAACTTGCAGTAATGAAACTCACCACTATGTTGTACACCTGAAACTAATATAACATTATATGTCAACTATTCAGTTTAAAAAGTGTATAAGTCATAGAGATGTAAAGTACAGCATAGGGAATGTAGTCAATAATATATTAACTACGTAGGTGATGACAAGTGACTAGACTTGTCATCATTTCATGATGTATGTAAATGTCGAATCTCTATGCTGTACACTGAAATTCATGTAATATTATATGTCAGTTATAGTCCAATACAAAATTTCAGTTTGTATTATTTAGGCCTGTTCTAAATTCAGAAGGAGATGAACGTATAGTCCTTTGAGGATGCTTTTGGAGATAATCGAGTCTCCCTTTTAGCCTTAACAGTAGAGATTCTTGGTTTATTTAAGACTTATTTGATTTATGAAAGAAAACTTTTGGCAAAGACAGTCATAGGGTTGATATAAATGGAATGAGTATTTTTCCAGTTAAGATGAAAACCCCTGGGGAGAAGGTTCAAAAGTGGTTTGGAAGGGATTGCGTGGTGCACACCTTCGGAGTACTGGGATGTGTAGAGGCAGCTTCAGCTGTGATGGTGAGAGCATGGGTTTAAGGGCAGAGCCATCAACAGAACCTTTCCCTTCTATGTCTGTGTTCAAGTTGCTTGAACCTCCACCTGTAGTTGGAAGGAAAAGCCTCGGAATGCCGGCATTGAGAAATCCTTCTAGTTGTACCATGTACGGGCAATCTCTTAACTTCAGTAGTATTGAATAATAGAACTATGCTTAGACATATTTCGAGCATATTAAAGTGGCAACGTTGTATATGCATGGATTTTTTTAATCACTGGAGGTAATTCTTAGAATAGATACCCCATATGGTGGAGAGGGAGAGTTGCATTTTTGATGCCTATTTTACTGAAATGACTAAACACATTTTTAGAAGATTCTGAACTTAAAACGTGTGCATTGGATTGCATTAATGTGCTCTTAAGTCTCTTAAGTCAGTTGGCCTAATATGATGATGTTACAAATTTAATGGATAATATGAAATCTCTTTCTGAAACTGAATTCTGCATATGGTAATGCTTTCATAGACTTGTTCTTTCAACTTTTAAGGTCTTTCCTCTTCCATTTTGCTATTAGAATCCCATTTTCTTCAAGGGCCTCGCTGTTTCAGAAACAGCTCTTAATTTTGTTGAATAAGTTCATTTGCTCTCCTTTGACTAGTTAAATTATTAACCCAAATGCCAAAGAATGGAAAATCAAAGTTAATGTGAATTTTAGACTCCCCTCAGTGTTAATAGTTACTGATCTGTGTTATGTATCCTTTCCTCATATGATTTTTTGAAATTCCCTTAATTTTCTTTGCTTCCCAGTTAAATACCATAATTTAAAGATAAATCAAAAGAAGAAAGATAGTTTATTTTTAAGACTAGGGTATGGAAAACACGTGAAGGCTTTATAGAAGCATTTTTTGTCATGATGTTTAAATTTGTTAGAACAACCAAGATTTTTTTGCTCATAACTGACAGAGAGAAGGAAACTAAGCATATTTCACTTCAGGAATTTCATTTCATTCCCAGTTGGATTCTAAGTGACCTAGAAATGGGGTCAGTTCGAGACATGGATATGGTTGGGAAGGAGGATAATAATGGCCAGTCAGTTCATCCCAGCTGCTTATCAGCTGTGCAAATTATATTTATATAAGTGCCTCTAATTTCTGTGATATGTTTGCTGTGTTTATGAATTTTGATGATCTTAAAGAAGTAGTTTGAACTTGCAAGTTTATTTACCAAGTCTGCATTATTTCCAGTGACTGATCCTTAGTAAAAAAAGTTTCTGGGGACATACTACTTTTCAGTTCTCTTGCATCTGGCAGTAATATAGCCACAGGGATGATTAATGGGAGATGTTCTCAGTGCCAGAAACAAGCTTCTGGAACCTCAAAACGATTATTACTAAATGTAAAAGTGGCCTGAGGCTGGGTGAACACAGCAGTCATTAGTCAGACCCAAGTACAAAAGAACACGTTTTGAAAAACATTTGCCAGAACGTGACAGATCACATATAGATAAATAATTGGGTGTGTATCCTGTGCTCTAATGTGTCTTGGAGTTCTGTATAACTGTCACATGTTGTTTCTATTATTTCTAGTTTTGTCTCCTGGTCTGCAGTGTATGCACATTTTTTACAGTCTTGGGAAGTTACATTCCTGGGGTTATACTCAGCTATCTACTGTGTAAGTATAGTAGAACATTCGGTTAATTTATGTGATGCATATGGTATCATTTATTGGTCAACAAGACCTTCCATAGTTTGGAAGAGGAGGGATGAGTTTTTTATTATAAACCACATTGATCATTCTTTAATTTCCTTTTGTACAAAGTTTCTCCTTTTCCTAGAGACGTGTTTACATCTTAAACATGGAAGAATACCTGTCAGAAGGCAGGGTTGGTTATGAGTGATTTAATTTTGTTATGTCAATAAAACTATAAATAAGCTCTACTTCCCACCTGCACCACTATCTACCTCCCCCCCCCCCCCCCCCCAACACACTAATACTTTTGCCCTGGTGTATGTTCTGTGGCTCCAGAAATAATTAAAGCCACAATGTGATACCATCACACCCTCACCACAATGGTGAAAATTGAAACTACTGACCATATTAAGTATTAGCAAGGATACACAGCAACTAGAAATCCTCCCATACTGTTAGTGGGTAGGTGAAGGGTACAACCACTTTGGATAACAGTTTGGCAGTTTCTTAATTTTTTTAAATTTTTAATATTTTTAATTGTTTTATTTATTTCTGAGAAAGAGAGAGACAGCGGGAGCAGGGGAGGCTCAGATAGAGAGGGAGACACAGGATCTGAAGCAGGCTCCAGGCTCGGAGCTGTCAGCACAGAGCCCGATACAGGGCTTGAACCCCTGAACCATGAGATCATGACCTGAGCCAAAGTCGGACGCTTAACCAACTGAGCCACCCAGGCGCCCCTTAATTTTTTTTTAATGTTTTATATATTTCTGAGAGAGAGAGAGACAGCGTGACCAGGGGAGGGTCAGAGAGAGAGGGAGACACAGAATCTGAAGCAGGCTCCAGGCTCTGAACTAGCTGTCAGCACAGAGCCCGACGCGGGGCTCGAACCCCTGAACCATGAGATCATGACCTGAGCCAAAGTTGGACACTTAACTGACTGAGCCACCAGGTGCCCCTGGCAGTTTCTTAAAAACCGTACATGCTGCAGCTGTTCCACAGCCAGGTACTTACCCAGGACAAATGAAAGCATACACTTTCACAAAAACTTGTATACACATGTTCATAGCACCTGCATTTGTAGTAGCCAAAACTGGAACACAGTCCATACATCCATCCTTAGACGTATGGGTAAACAGCCTGTGGTATATCCATTCAGTGACTACTCAGCACTAACATGTTGATGTATGCAACAATCTGAATAAATCTCAAAATAATTAGATTGAGTGGAAAAAGTCAGGTAAAAAAGAACATAAACCGTCTGATTCCACTTATACATATTCACACTAATCTTTAGTGGCAAAGCACACAAATGCTTGCCTACGGATGAGGTAGGGAAAGGCAGGGGAGAAGGGTTAATAGGAAGATGAAGAAACTTTAGGGGCTGATGGGTATGTTCACTATCTTCATGGTGGAGATGGTTTCTTAGTTGTATGCATATCTCAAAACTTCTCCAACTGTATACTTTAAAAATGTACAATTTACTGTATGTCAAATATAGCTCCAAAATGCTGTAAAAAAGAAAAAAAGTATAGCTTTGAGCTTTTCTTGGAAACTATGATCTGGTGCTGCCACCTTGAGATGGCACAGGCACTCTCCATGTAACTAACTCTCATATTCCCTATTTTTCCTACACCAGCTTTTAAAATATACATATACTTCCTTGGCTTCTTCTAGTGATATTTGAGTTTGCAGCTGCTCTTTAAAAGGTAAATGGGCACATTTTCTAACAACAACAAAGAAATAAACACCAGGGAATACAGTGCATTCACTGTGTCAATCTTCATTTCTTTTTGTATTCCTAATGGATAGTACCCATGGCAGATAATCCAAGCTCACATCCGTTCTCCCACATGGAACTCATGTAAATATCAGCCCTTGATCTGCCTTGTTTAGGGAGTAAAGGAGGAAAGAGCCAGGAAAGGAGAGTCTGATGTGGGCAAAGCATTATCCAGGTGGTTGACATTGGCCTCATTTATCGCTTCAAAAACCCTAACAGATAATATTATTATCCCCAAATTACTGATGAGAGGCTAATAGATCATAACTTTCCTTTGGCTTATTTAACAAATAAGTACAATGGAGATTTTAATCTAGGACTGTTGATAAGAAAGCATGTAATCTTTGTGTCAATGTTGAGGCTGAAAAAATTGAAAGGAAGAAGATGATATAATAGCAAGTCTTTGAAAACAAGGACCTTAAGCAGTATGTGTGTGTGCGCGCGCGCTCGTGCGGGAGAAGATGTTTTCATTGTGGGAGGAAGAACAGAAATTATGAACTTCACAGAAGCATTTCTCTAAGAAGCACACTTGTCTTTGACAGGAAGGGAACTGAAATACTTTTGCGAAATACGAAGCTGTAGCCTTTTGAAAGGAAGGCCATCTTACCTATGTTCTCTTCCCTCTTCTGTTTCAGTACTGTGTGCATTTTTGTGTCCACTGTTTAAGTGTAATGATATTGGACAAAAAATATATAGCAAAATCAAGTCATTTCTGCTGAAACTAGATTTTGGAATTGGAGAGTATATTAATCAGAAGAAACGTAAGAGATCTGGTAGGTAAAGTTTGAATTTTAGATACCATCCATGGAATGAGACATCAGCTGGCTATTTATTATGAAATCACTTTTAATACATTTCGAGGCTCTTTTAGCCTTTTATTGCATATTATTATGGAAGCTAATCCCCCCCAAAGTAATATAGCCTTTGCCTATTTAGGCTTTTATTCTTTTCTCAAACATACAAGAAATGGACTTTTTAAATCCAAATTGTCAGGGGAAGGAGAAAAGGATTCAATAATTCTGCATTTTCTATTTATGATTTCTTTTGTTTAAGCTCTTTTCTTTTGGGGTGGACTATTGCAAATACAAAAAGCCAACATTAGGGCTGTGAGCGTGGGAGCCGGGTAAGGGGAGGGAGAGAACAAGGGGAGGAAAAGAAAACAGAGGAAAAATGAACGTGATCATGATTCACTACTGAACTTGGCCTGTGATGTTATAGATTCTCAGACTATCGCAGGCATCAGAACCACCTCGAGTGATTATTAAAGCATAGATTTCCAGGCCCCACCCCACAGTTTCTGATTCAGTTAGTGGAGGGCGGGGCCTGAGAATGTGCATTTCTAAAAAGTTCCATCAGATCAGTGCGGCTGATGCTACTGGTTCAGGTAGCACACTAGGGGACCCACTATATGGACCACTGTCCTTGGAAATCAAACTTCTGCAAATACGTTGTGAGCAAATATTTAATTATATGGAAGCATTGGAGACCATGAGGAACGTGGGGTCAGGATATCACTCTATAATGAGTGAAATATACTACGTCTAGGAAACTGAAAGCCTCTAAATTTTCTCTCAACAGAAGCAGATAAAGAAAAAAGCCAGAAAGACGACAGTGAATTAGACCTTTCAGCTCTTTGTCCTAAGGTATTTTTTTGTTTGTTTGTTTAGTTTTCAGTTTGTTCCTGGGTGGTTTGGCTGTAAATTTACTTACATGCCTTAAAGCTGAATGATTTTCTTAATAGACTCCTCTTCTTTCATCTAAGATGATTAAACCATTTCAGAAGGAAAATGACTCATCTGGGTTTTATTATTCTGACATTTTGGTGTTCGCATGGCGTTTTCAAAAGATTTCTGTCTGAAGTTTAAAATGTGCCACTGCTATTTATATTAACACAGATTAGCCTCACGGTTGCTGCGAAAGAGCTGTCCGTGTCTGACACAGACGTGTCTGAGGTCTCCTGGACTGACAATGGGACCTTCAACCTTTCAGAAGGATACACTCCACAGACGGACACTTCGGATGGTATGCTCACATCTCTACATGCTCTTCTTTTTTTTTTATTATTAGCACATACAAAACTGTTTACCTCTGCCAGCGGCTGAATGGACAAACAAAATCTGGTACACGTAGACAGTGGAGTATCGCTTGGCTATAAAAACAAAGTAGTGACACATGCCACAATATGGATGAACCTTGAAAACATTATGCTATGTGAAAGAAGCCAGATGCACCAGTCCACGTATTGTAGAAGTCCATTTATAGGAAACGTCCAGGGTGGACAAATCCATGTGGACAGAAAATAGATTAGTGGCTGCCAGGGGCTGGGAGAAGGAAGAAAGGTGACTGGTAATTAGTATGGGTTTTTTGTAACGATGTAAATGTTCTGGAATTAGACAGTGGTGATGGTTGTACAGCTTTGTGAATATATTAAAAGCCACTGATTTGTACACTTTAAGTTTTTTTAATGTTTTGTTTGTTTATTTATTTATTTATTTTTGAGAGAGAGAGGCAGACAGCGTGAGCAGGGGAGGGCCAGAGAGAGAGGGAGACACAGAATCAGAAGCGGGCTGCAGGCTCTGAGCTGTCAGCACAGAGCCCGACATGGGGCTTGAACCCACGAACCGTCAGATCATGACCCGAGGTGAAGTCAGACGCTTAACTGACCGAGCCACCCAGACGCCCCTGATTTGTACACTTTACAAGGGCCAATTTTATGATATATGAATCGTACCTCAAAAGCTGTTCCTTTTTTAAAAGTATGAGAAAAAATCTAAGCCGGTCACTATCCAAATCTGCCTTCATTTTCAAAACAAACAAATAACTGACAGTGAAAACAATTAGCTTCTTTAGTGTCTGGTGGCACTGTGGACAGCAACAGAGCAAGGAGGGGAAGAGAGACTTTCATCCCATGTATCCAGGGCTAGTCCTCATTACAGAGGATTAAAGTCTGGAGGACAGGTTCCCCAAATCTGAAGCTGACCCCACGGTTTCTCGTGGTTTACTTCAAAGTTAGTTTAAAAAAAAAAAAAAAAAAAACAAGCTTTCTTTTTTTTTTTATAATTAGGATAAATATAGTTTAAAACAGAGATCATCTTGTGCAGTAAGTTAACTTTTTCTAGTCTCATTGGATTATTTCAAGTCATTTTAACCATATACTGAATATATGAGAGTAAAATGGAAGATTATGAATTGTTCTATATGTGTTTTTCCAAGCAAGAACCTACTTTCTTTCTCTAGTGGAAGAAGGGAGGCCATATGGTGTTTGAAAAAAGACAGCTTTGGAGATTAGGACACCCAAGCGTAGTCTTGCCTTTGTCATTAGCTAACTGTATGACCTTGAACAGGCGACATAATTTCTGTGGACCTCAATTTCCTCACCTTTCAAGTGTATTAGAACACTCATGGGGTGCCTGGCTGGCTTAGTTCGTAGAGCAGGCGACTCTTGGTCATGGGGTCATGAATTTAAAGCCCACATTGGGCTCAAGGCCTCCTGAGAAAAAAAAGAAAAGGAAGATTCAGCTGTACAAGCCCTAAATATCAAGATGAGGATAACAAACCCATTGTTCTTAAGCATTCTCTCTCAGATTTACACAGCAAAACGGGCAGCAGTAATGCAGCCCACAATGAAGGCTTTAATTAAATTGAAGACTTCAAGTCACTATTATAAAGAGTTAACCATTATACTGAAAGATTTTCTATGGAAAGTGAAAGACAATAAAATCACTGCTTGTTAATCTGACATTGCTTTCAAATGTCCCAAATCTTAAAGATTCTATATATATTCAGGATACGAGTCTGGCTGGTAAACAGGGTATGGTCACTTTCAGCTATATTTATGGAAAGCAAAATGTTTCCATAAGCTCTTAGGCTGAATATGGGATAGAAGGAGCAATACTTTGTTTGAATTCGTTGCTTTAAACAAACATCGGTTACAGATGCTGAGATAGGTCTCCATAGATGAAAATGGTGGGGCAGGATAATACTCTCCATCATGCATATCCACATTGGCTTAAAGCTAATACTGGGGCAGGATGAAATTTTTGTTTATGATGAACATTTCAACTCTAGTTCATACATACAATGGAATATTACTCAGCCATTAACAAGAATGAAATCTTGCCATTTGCAACAATGTGCATGGAGTTGGAGAGTATTATGCTAAGCAAAATAAATTGGTCAGAGAAAGACAAATACCATATGATTTCACACACACATGGAGTTTAAGAAACAAAACAAATGAACAAAGGGGAAAAAAGAGGGAGAGAGGCTAGTCAAAAAATAGACTCTTAAAATAGAGAACAGGGGTGCCTGGATGGCTCAGTCAGTTGAGCATCCGATTCTTGATTTTGGCTAGGGTCGTGATCCTAGCTAGGGTCCTGGGACCAAGCCCCACATCTAGCTCCAGGTTGAGCAAGAAGACTGCTTGGGATTCATTCTCTCTCTTCCCGCTCCCCCCCACCCCCACTCACACTTGCTCTTTCTGTCTCTCTTTCTCAAATAAAAAAAAGAAAATAGAGAACAAACTGATGGTTACCAGAGGGATTAAGGAGGGCACTTGTGATGCTCACTGGGTGTCATATATTAAGTGCTGAATCACTATATTGTATACCTGAAACTAATACATTGTATGCTAACTCATTGGGATTTATATAAAAACTTAAAAAAACTTCAGTCAAAGCCTCAAGCCAACATCAAGTAGAATATTAAGTCATTACATATACTGGTTTGTACTTAAGAGGAAAACTAAAGACGTAGGGGGGACATGTGGAATTTGTGTACTTGTAGAGAGATGGTGTCCCAGATTTGAAAGGGGTCCAGTATATGGTTAAGTTGATTTAAGCTGAACCAGGAAGCTAGATGAATGCCAGGTTTGCCTAGAGTGTTGGATTAACATCAGTGTATCTTTTAGACAGTTCTTTCATTTCGTTTTCATCACTGTGCTCAAGCATGAACTTCTGTTACACATTCCACAGATCTTGACCGGCCTAGCGAAGAAGTTTTCTCTCGAGACCTTTCCGATTTTCCATCTGTAGACAATGGCATGGGAACAAATGATGAAGATGAATTCAGCCTCGGCTTGCCCACTGAGCTCAGGAGAAAAAAGGAGCAGTTGGACAGTGGTCCCAGAGCAAGCAAAGAGAGGCAGTCAGCCGCTGGTCTCACCCTTCCTCTGAGCAGTGACCAAACCTTTCACTTGATGCGTAACCTGGCTGGGGATGCCATTACGGCTGCGGTGACTGCTGCCATCAAAGAGCAGTTAGAGGGCGCTGCGCAGCAAGTGCTCTCTCAGGCTGCCCCCAGCCCAGGAGAGGACACAGACACTGAAGAAGGTGATGACTTTGAACTACTTGACCAGTCAGAGCTTGATCAAATTGAGAGTGAATTGGGACTTGCACAAGACCAGGAAGCAGAAGCACAGCAAAATAAGAAGCCTTCGGGCTTCCTTTCAAATCTACTCGGAGGAGGCCATTAGTCTGGGAATCAACTGGTTCAACACAGCACAGATATAACTACCAAAAAATTACAAACCATGCAAAAAAAAAAAAAAAAAAAAAAAAAAAAAAGAAAAAAAAANCAAAAAAAAAAAAAAAAAAAAGAAGAAAAAAGGAAAAAAAATTTTTTGAACTGTGAGCTTTAACTGATTACTTCAGATTTTTTTCTTATTTTCCCTTCTGCAGTGAATTAATTGGATATATATCAGCTGATACTGATAGACTGATATTTCCTATAGTTATTTTTATGTAATAGGCATGGAAATGAACTTTATATACATATATATACATACTGTGTTGTCAGAGATAAATATTAGAGGTTGTTTTTAAAGCAAAACACCAAATTATTGAGATCCTCCTCCAAGTATTCCTTATTTTTTCTTTACAATTCATTTTTTAGGCATGCAAAAACTTTAACTCACTGAAATATTAACAACTAGTTGGTGAATACATGCAGTATCAGTTCCTTTGTTACCAATACTTGGAAACAGTTAAAAATTTTGGTAGATTCTGAGGTGAAAAACCAAAAATGATTATGGGATCTTTAGGTGGAGGACTTGGGAAATATTATCAAAATTAATTTCTTAGGAAAAATTTTAAAAACATATTTAACTACTTTGGATAGGCTGATACATTTCCATGTTATTTCTGCAGTTATAGACTTAGGCTTACCTATAAATGGCATGCTCCATGGATTCCCAGCTCTGGTCTTGCAGATGGTGGATTAACCCATAGAAAGCAAGTAATTATATATCACGTAGACAGTGGTTTTGATGTAAACAGAAATTGGGCTGTTTTGTTGTTCAACTGTCATATATTTGTAATAGAGATGTTATGAAGTGCAGATCTATTCTGTCTGCTCAGACCTAAGTTAAACCCTCATCTTTCATATTATGTCATAGGAAAAAGTCTCTTAAAATTGTGAAATTAGTTCCTGAGATGTTCTATGGGTGATGTTGTCCTCAGCAGTAGAGAAACAATAACTGTTTTCGTAGTCTGTATCAGAGTCTCCTAAAGGAGAGAAATTTGCTTGGCTTTTAGGTGTATTTATTTGCTATTGAAGTCTAAATATGTAACCTGTTTCTTACTGGGAAGCTAGAATGTATTTTTCCTTTATCTTAAACTTTTTAGATCACCTTTAAATAACCAAATTTGACTTAGGTGTTTAACAAAAGACTTAGCAGAAATCAAGCTCATTTTGTTTTTGTGATATAAACTTTTAATAGCGTTGAGGGACCATGTCAGCCAACTACCAACAATCCCTTCAATCTTCAGGTACAGCTGGCATTTATACAGATGCATGCAGACATCGCAGACCCTCAGAAAGGAAGGATAATCCAAGAATATAGGACATCTGTGGTCTCTTCCCTTCATTTTATCCCTTTCCTTGTATTTCTCAAGACTACAGGTAATCTGATGTTTTAATGTAGCATCTCTTATTTATTTTTTTCTTTCTGAGGTATTAAAATATCTAGACTGAATTTTGCCAAATGTTAAAGGGGGAAAAGTTACCAAGGACTTTGAACACTTGCTTTTTGTGATTGACTATGCTTATATGTCATTAGTGCCTCATGACTGTGTTTGATGTCCTTTATTGATACAAAGTGAGCCTGTGCCTTCATTATCTTGCCCATTTTGGTACAAATGGAAACCTGGTGTTAGATCTATGAACTGTGTGGGTTAGGGAGGAAGATACCTGAATTCTATTCAGTATAAGTTTCTGGACACAAAGAAAAATACAGTCACATATTTATAAAATAGTTGTCACCAGGATTCTTTTTTTTTTTTTTAATTTTTAATGTGCATTTTTCTGCATTTAAAACATATTCTTGGCCATGAAATGTACAGATCATTTCAGTTTCTTCACTGCAGGGAACACAAGAAGCTGATCCAAGTAATTAAAACATGTTGAAAGTCACTGGACAAGCTTACAAGAAGATAAACTCAAGAGTTGGTGGTATGAACAATAAAGATAGGATCATATATTATAAACTACACATTAAAAGGGATTTGGGGACAGCAAGGTTGGTAAGGTAGAAAAATGTGTAATTAGTACTGTCGAGAAGACATACTAGCTCTCTATGGATAGTAGCATAGCCATACATGTACTTCAACATTATTTATTCAAGAACATAAGTGATTACAAATTCACAGTTAGTACTCGTTGATAATGGTACTCAATTCAGACAAACAGGGATGCTGAAGGTGTGTGTGTGTCTGTGTGTCTGTGTGTGTGTAGTGGGAGATGTATTTCTGGTTTCAAGATACAGTAACAAGAAACCCTGGTGATTGATCCAGTACTCTGGGAACTACTTATCCCTTACCATGAGTATTTATGGGTTCATTAAAAGGTGAAACATGGGTTTTTTTTTTTAATTGAAAGGAGTTCTAGAAAAATGTTTTGCTCTCTTCCTGTAGAAAATGATGAGCAAAACCAGATAATGGGAATAACATACATTGGTCATGCATTTTGACCTGAAACAATAAAGCTGGGCTCAAGAAGTTTAAGCTTCCTTTGGAAGGTCAATCCAGGCTTAAATGTGTTTATATTCTCATTCTGAATCATCTTTGCTTTTTCTTACCCTAAAAATCTTTAAAAGTGATTTTTAAAAACTGCTCCTCTTCTGGTAAAGTAGAATATTAGGAAAAGAAACATTTATAAGGCTTTGCTAATGGCAAACATCCTTAACATATTTAGGAATGTCACTCTTATCTTTGAAATAAATGCAACTTTTTTCATTAAAAAAATGGCAAATTCCAGTGTACTACTGATTTTAGTAACAACTGTATCTACAGTTAAGAACAAAGTGACTTAAATATTTTTCTTTTCTGTTTATAAGTTTGGTTGATGTAGTTCTTTACATTGCTCCAGCTATATTAGTTACAAGATAGGAAATTATTCTGAAAACCCTTACTAAACTGTTGTCATAGGTCATTTGGATCATGATGAAGCTAGAAAGTCTCAGTACTATATTTTTGTGTTTTATTCCTCCATTTCCACTGCAGCATTTAAGTCAGGATGAGAGGTCATTAATATGAGTTCTAGCTCTGGCCACCTAAGATACAATGTCAAAGTCACATAACATCCCCAAACTACCACTTCAGTTTCCTCAGACATAAAATTTGGAAGCTAATTATTCTCACACTAGGATGTTTTTAGAATGAATGGAAAAACGTGTCTCAAACATTTTCAGGGGAAAAAAGGCTAATTAAAACCAAAACAGTGATGTTTTTTCCTGCCTGTGTTTCAACTATGCCATCTTTTCAAACATTAAAACAAAGTCAATCAATTATCTTCTCATAAGAAAACTCTAAAGTTCTTTCAGTGAGACTGGCACTATATTGGCCTCATAATCCAATAAATGCTATGGAATAAAAAGATGAAAAGTGTTGCAAAAATGTATATTTTTTCCGTTGACTCTAGACCACGTGTGAGATTCTACACTAGTCATTTTTAATGGATCTTACACTGGGAGACTCCAAGTCAGTCATATAACATTTGCTCCTGTTTCCTTCATCTATGAAATTAGCACCTGCATCTCATAGTGTATAATTGTCTAAGATGGGGGTTGGCAAACTATGGCCTATGGGCCAAATCTGGCCTGCCACTGTTTTTGCATGGAATAGCAACTAAGAATGATTAAAAAAATTTTTTTAAATAGTTAAAAATCCAAAGAATAGTTCATGATGTAAGAGGAATAGTTTACAATGTATAAAATATACGAAATTCAAAATTCAGTGTCCATATATACGGTTTTGTTAGAACACAACAACATTCATTTATGAACTGCCTGTGGCTGCTTTTATGCTAAAGAGAAAAGTTGAATAGTTGTGGCAGAGAAAAGTTTTAGGCCTACAAAGCCTAAAATATTTACTATCTTGCCCTTTAAATAAAGACTTGCCAAACTTTGGCCTAATACATAGAAGACACTCAGTTATAGTTAGAATCATGTGTAATCCTCATCACTCTACAATTAAGTAGCAGTAAGACCATTTTTCAGAAGGACAAGGTTAGATAAGTTATCCAGTCACATAGCAAGTAAGGGGGAAAGCCAGTTTGACCCCAAAGCCTATTCTCTTTCCAATATGTCAGAGTATCTAATATTTTTTAATACATTAAGAAACTTTTTAAGTAGGTTAGCAGAATTTTACTAAATATTAAATATTAAAGAATACTTTTATTTTATTTAGATTATTTTTTCTTTTTTCAAAGAATCCAGAAACTAGCTGATCTTTACTATTTTAAATGCTCTGATAATCCAAGGTTTCTCAATTCTTTAAGAATATCTCAATTCTTTGTTAATTTAAGAACAGCATATCTAGATATCAAAAAAAAAAAACCCAAGAGGTAGTAAAATGTTTTAAAATTGTTTACTGAGAATCATAATTCTTAACATTTTTATAAACGCAAAATTCATAGAAATTGTAAAACCATTTAGTAAATGTTTTTATATTTTTTGTTACCACCCAAAAACTAATTCCAAACAACCCAATCCCCTTTAATTTTCCTTTTAAAAATCAAGTAGCTAATGCAATATGGGTATGTGAAAAGTAGTAAGCCTGTCACAAGAGAATGCTGCATATCATTACCAGTATCTCAATTGTCTTGAAGATAAACCTATTACCTCTTACTTTAAATTTTGTAATTATATCAAAAATCAACATCCCAACATTTTCCAGCATTGAAAAGGAAGCATATCTTCATGGATACTGTCACTTTACAATGTTTAACATAACCTCAGAAGTTTGGCAATTATGTGAACTATCTTGAGAACTATGTCACACTATCCAGAAAGAATTCTAATTTTTAAGATTTTTCAAATCTAAAATATTTTATGTGGGCAGTCTCAGTTTAAATATTCTTCAGTAAACTGACTCAGTAAGAAACATTTTGTATAGCATTGGCAGCAGAGATCAGACACATTAACATAATTCTCTGAATATACTACAGTGAAGTTCAATGCGAGGTCTCTTGGTCAGTCATCTTGCATCTACCAAGGAGCTACTGGCTATAGACCTGTTCCTTTCTAGT